TATAAAACTCAGGGGTAAAAACACCCCAGGATTTCTCTCTCTCTCTTTTACCTAAGACAACAAAGGAACCAGCGCCTTTGACTTTGGGGGCGGTCCTGACCTGAGAATTTGGTCAGCCATGTTGCTGGGCTCCTGTGGTAAGGATTTTAAACAAACTAGATTTGGTTCTAGGTAAGATTAGCTACTAGAAAGAGTCTTACCTTTATTTCTCTTCTAACCATTTCTGGCTTTAATATTTGATACGTGTACTCACTTCAAATCTCTCTCTTTGTAGTTAAACTTGTTTTATTTTTTAATCAAAAACTAAGCGAACATTGAGTTTAAACTGAGCTATTTGGGTAACTCCAGGTGAAGTAGCAAACTGTTGCATATTGGCCCTTTACAGGGGCAACAGACCTGTAATATCTGAACTGCCCAGGAGAGGGCTGGACAATGCAGAACACACATTTTGGGGAAAAATCAGGATTTCGAGTGTGTTGAGGTCACCCTTCAAGTAGTAACCAAGGCTGGTGAAAGCCAGGGTGTGGTTGGAGTGTTGCTGACTGGCTGCTAGGGTCAGAGCTGTTGGACTAGGGCTGCAGCTATACACAGCCATTCAGGGTGTGATCTGCATGCAGTCTGGCTGTTTGTGAGTGGCCCCAGTTGGGAGCTACAACAGCAAAGCATTGGGAGGCACTCAAAGTTGCAGGGCAGGTGGTGACAACCTCTCACTGGTCTGGATTGCACCGCAAAATGTGACACACACATTCACCTTTGCCCTGCATTATCTCATCTTCTTTCTCCATCTCCTCCTTTTCCTTAAAGGTCTATGTCACCGTAATGTTCTCTTTTGCAATGGACAGGGGGTGGATCCTGAGTTCCCCTCTTTCCTTTTGGTTCCAGCCCAGCGACACTGTAGCAAGCAGGCAAGGTCTATTCCCTTGGACTCTCTTCTGCCTTCCTGGGCTTCTTCCTATCTCAGCCTGCTTGTAGCCTTCTCCATAACCTTCTTTTGGGCTCACTGTGTTTCTGTACTCTTCCCAGGTTCCATGACCTCTAAGGCTCACTCTCCTTAGAGGGCAGGGGCTTGCATGGCTCCCCCATGCAGTTCCCCGTAAGTCTCAAATAAAATATAAAACTTAAACCACTTCTGTCCTCCTTGGGCTTCAATTTTCAACTCGCTCAAGTCTCCCCTATGCTCTCTTCCTCAGTTGAACCCTTTCGAGGGGCTCTCTGACTGGAGGTCCAGATCCTGCCCTTCTATCAAGACTAACCACCAGAGTTTGCTCTACCCCAGGAACTTCTCTGTGTTTCTCCCAGCCTCTTGCTACAGGTTTCTACTCAGGAGAGGGTACCAAGACTAGCTCTGCCCCTGGGCTTCTCCTTCCTTCTCCCCCTCTTGCCATGAAGTCCTTTGCTGGCCTAGCAGGAGGCTTCCTGCAGGCCTCTCTATTGCCCAGGGAGGGAATTCAGAATTATCTCTCGTCTACTGCCCTCTCATCTGGCTTCTTCCCTTTATAGTAAACCACAGCTGGGGTTCATCAGTAATTGGGCCTGGCCCATCCTCCAGGTGCACTGGTTGTGCTCTGGCTCCAATTATCCCTGTCTATACCAGTGTGGGGTGCACATCCGAACATACTAACCTAAATCGCCCTTCTTGCAAATTAAGCTGATCACTTCTTGTCCTACCCTGAAGAACATTTGATCATCATCCTCTTTATAACAACCTTTTACCTATTTGAAGAACATCATCATCAAATGGTGGGCACCTGGCTCACTGGGACGGGGAGGTTGTTCCATGAATGGGGGGCGGGGGACAGCATGGAACCAAGAAGTGGGCATGAAGGAGGCATCAAGGCTTGCTGAAGGAGTGAAAGGGGATGTGATGAAGATGACATCTGTGCCATGGAACAAGGCATAGTTTTACAGGGCCTTGAAGGCAAGTACAAGAAATTTAAACTTAGGGAAGCCAGTCACAAGATTCAAAGAGGGTTATGATATGATTGGACTGATGGGCAAGGAGCCTAGTTTATCATGAGGAATGAGAGAAGAGGTTTAGCCTGGAGAAACATTCCTTACATCAATGACAGAATTTATGACCACCACAATCCCATGTACATAGACTAACATGCCCTGTAATTGAAATAACCTTCCATTGATGAAAAGATGCTGGGAGAGCAGTAGAACTGGGCTGACTTCTGTCTCCCAAGATGCAGAGCCCTGAAAATGTTGGTCTCAGACTCGACTTTTATCTCACAGCTAACTCTACCTTTCCTATGTGTGCAACTTCTTATCAGACCAACTCTGGCAAGGCCCAAAGAGTATTGAACTACTGATCACTGACCAATGTCAATATATCTGGAAACAAAGTAAGAAGAGCCCCACAGTGAGGAAGCGGTTCTCTGCAGGGTTTAGGAATAAATAAACCCCAGCTGTTTCACTGACCTTCCTGGACATTGATGCTTCCCTCCTCCAAATGCCACGAAGCCGTCCAAGAAAGCATTCTTCTCTAAATTTGCCTCTTTCCAACGATCCTGTGGGAAGAAAACATTTTTTTCCCAAATCAGCCTTGTATAAATAAGCTTAACATTATTTTTCCAGGCTAAAAATGACCTGGGACAGCTAATCCTGGCATATAAAGCTCCCTTCAACCTGTTAAGATTACTTGGCCACTGTGTTGCTAGCATATGGATTTGTAAACAAGGTAATTCAGTCAAGCCCATTTAAAGACAGGAATTTAGGCCCAGATTTCCAAAGATATTTAGGCCCCTAAAGGAGCAGGTAGGTGCCTAGTAGGATTTAGACACCTAGGTGCTTTTGACAATCCAACTAGGCACCTTACCTGCATGTGTAGGCACCTAACTGCCTTTAAAAGTCTGGCCCTTACCCTACAGGAGCAAGCTGATTCAGAGTGAAGGCTCACACTCTGTCCTTAGTTCTCCCTGAATTGCAAGGTACTACCAGGCAATGCAAATTTAATTATGCATAGCATCTTTCGTACAAGCTGTGTCCCAAAAAGTTTTGCAGAGAAAAATCACACACTTACTGAACAACACACTTAACAGAGGCCAGCTGAGAGGAGGGCAAGGATAATGAGTCCAAATAAAAGTAGTGTTTCAGTGAGTGAGAGTTAGGTGCTCACTAGGTAAATCAAGGTACTGACTGACAGAGACAGGAGTTGAAAAAAACCCCAAACAGCCATATAGCTTAGCATTCAAGGGTGGGGGTGTTCTTAAGGTGAAACTTGGTAGCATCAAGACATCCTAACAAGTGATGAGATGTCTCTGAAGTAACAGACCAAGGCAATCCAATGTGGAAGCTACATACTGTCAAGATTCTCTGGTGAAGACAGCTAAGTTCCATATGTATGAACAACAAATTGGGTTTTTTTCTGGAGTAGGTGGAGAGGCTTAACACAATAGTTGAAGTCACCAGGCAAAATAAGGAAAGCTAAACTGGATAGCACCTTAAGAGGCACTCCCATAGACACTGAGGTCTGAGACCACAGATAGGATGGTTATGGAACAATAGGGTAAAAATCTATAAATCCACTCAATCTAGTCAGCCTCAACAAGAAGTCTGTTTTTGTTAAGGGCAAAATAGACTGAGGTGGACCATACCTCCAGATGTAATCACTGTAAGGGAGACACTGAAATAGATCGGCCTGGCTGGTGACTATACATTGAAGAACTTGGCCTAAGATATCTGTGATGCAGGTGAGGGGAACAGGGTGCGAGGCTGCCTCCAGGAATGCTAGTACAAGCGTTATGCTAATAATGGTGAGGGCTGCTGAGAAGAAAGCTGGAGAGTTCCCACTAATATTCCATGTGGGAAGTTACACCAGTGAAAGCAGACTCAATGGAATCAAGAACAGTGCCTGGCAGAGAAATGAAGGCTGGTGATCTTCCTGGGGATCCTTCTAGTGACAAACACAGGAGAAGAGAGGAGGCCAGTAGTCACAACCAACTGATGTGTGAAGACTTTTGGATTCAAGGCACATAGGAATGCCTTCTGTGAGGAAAGGAAAGTGCTTGGATTTGATAGTTTCCATGTAATCAGAGAGGGTAATGGTTCAAACCTGACTCATGGTTTGTTAAGAGGGCCTTCATGTAGAAAAGTTTTGCTAGAGGGGAAGCTTGTGGTTAAGTAAATCTTTCACATGTCTTCAAAAAGAGGTGAAATTGTTCTGCCACAGAAGATGACTCTTCTAAGAGTCATGGAACCGAGCTCTCTGTAATTTCAAAAGCTTGTCTCTCTCACTAACAGAAGTTGGTCCAATGAAAAATACTACCTCACCCACCTTGTCTCTCTCATATTGGTGATGGGCAGTGGTCATAGCACACCAGCAGCCTAATTGATGCAAGTACTTTGTAGGTATCATGGCAAAGGAGAGTATTGAGGAGGGACTTGAAGCCAATGCAGATGGGTAAAATACATAGAGATGAGATATAAAACAGACGTCAGGTGGAGGAATGCACTGAGCCTGGTCTAAAGTCCAGTGAAGCCAATGGGAGTCTTTTAATTGACTAGTATCAGAGGGGTAGCCGTGTTAGTCTGAATCTGTAAAAAGCAACAGAGGGTCCTGTGGCACCTTTGAGACTAACAGAAGTACTGGGAGCATAAGCGTTCGTGGGTAAGAACCTCACTTCTTCAGATGCAAGTAATGGAAATCTCCAACCTCGTTAACTCCACACTGATATATACCTGCCTTTGGAGATTTCCATTACTTGCATCTGAAGAAGTGAGGTTCTTACCCACGAAAGCTTATGCTCCCAGTACTTCTGTTAGTCTCAAAGGTGCCACAGGATCCTCTGTTGCTTTTAATTGACTGACTTCAATGGGCTTTGGATCAAGTCCTATATGTATTTGCAATTTACCAGCAAGATACAATTTGCTACTTCAGAGTGGCGGTGATTATACAAAAATATTTTAAACATAAATATGTTCTTGAACTGGAGGACCTTGCTCATTTCAGCAGGTCCCTCTTCTTTGTGCTTGCTTTCTTCCCCTATAAATACTAGGGCATTAATCCTTATAGTGAGTAGTCTAGGGATAGGATAAATATCTTCCTGAAAGAAATCTTAAAGGAAGATGCACTCAACAATACGTTTTGGATTTAATTACATGAAAAAAGAGAAAAGAGAGCAAAATAAATACATCAAAAGAGGCAACTTACAGGTTTGAATGTTTCAGGATCAGGAAAGTATTTTGGATTCCTATGCACCCAATATGGAGACAACATCAGCATGTCACCTGCAGGGATGGTGAAAGTCTAAAAGTAAGAGAAACAATTCTGAAGCAAAGAAATAGAAAATTGCAAGTTCGGTCTGCTCCCAAAACATACTATTATGAATGCTACTGGTTCACCAAGAACAGAATGAAAGACCTTGCTAGAGAGGAAGTGCAGCTGGTAAAGCACTCATGTGTATTAAGGGTGTGATGCAAGGGAAAAATGGGTCTGCACCTTTTATTGTTTTTGCTGCTTCTTTATTACATATAAGAAAGGCCTGAAGTGGTTTTTTAATGTTAGAGGTAACAGAAATGTTAAATCTGGTCTTCCCTGGCTCTTGCTGAAGGACTGAATTCCGAAGTGGATTGTAAACTCTAGGTAATCCTCTCATTAAGAGCTTGATCCGAAACCTAGTGAAATCCATAGAAACACTCCTGTTGAAGTCAAATACTTTTGGATTATATCCTAATTGGATGGTAATGCCAGTTTTTTAACCAAGATAGCTTTTCTCCCAAATGTTTATTTAGGAGATTCCTGAGTATCCTCACGCCTTCCCTCAAAAATGCACTGAGAAAGAAGAGCTAGAGGAAGTAAAGCATGGTTCAGTCCTCCAACAGCTGATGGGACTTTGCCGATCTGTTTGCTGGACCCTGCCCTGGTGGTGCCTGTCCTGTATACCATCAGTGCAGCATTCCCCAGCTCCTTCAATCAGAAAGTGAAGATGGGGGTGGGGAGCAAAATCAGTCTTAAACAGCCGATTTAAATAAGGTTGGGGTTCCATATGCCTAATTTATTATGTCCAGATACATTTGGGATGGTGACTTCTAGAAGGATTACAATGTACTATGACAGCCACATAAAAACAAACCTCACCTGAATTTTTATTGGATTCACCACTTTCTTAGTGATTGCACCTGGAGACCTTAGTCGGATGGCTTCCAAAGTGCACCATTTAATTAAGAGAAGCTTCTTAAGGTCATCTTCAGATATTTCAATATTCTCTTTACCTGTTGCATTATAAGAAATAATATCGTATGGCTAAGACAGTAAGAAGTACAAGATTTCACATGGGTTATGAGATTTCATCATGCACTGAAACGTTTTGCTAGAGGACTTCTGGTAGAGTGCCTCTAGAATTTCCAGTGTTGTCTAGAATGCATTCCTCAAACAGTTTAACATGATTTTATATTCTGGTTGGCTAAGCCACTTTGATATTGTTTTAGCATGTAAGGGTTTTTAATATATCTGGTCAATAAGTTTCAGACTTGTGATAGTGCAACAAAAACTTGATAAAATGTTGATGAAAAATGGTAATTTTTGAAGTGTATGTAAAATTTTGACCAGTTCTAGTTTTAAACCATGTTAAACAATGTGTGTAGATGGCTACTGTGACCTAGTGGCTAAAGCACTGAACTGGGCCTCAGGGGACCTTGGTTCTATTCCTGGCTCTGCAATTGCCCCACTGGGTGACATTTGGCAAGTCACATCTGCCTCAGTTTCCCTATCTGCAAAATAGGGAGACTGACACTGACCTCCTTTGTAAAGCGCTTTGAGATCTGCTGATAAAAAGTGTTATAGAAGGTATTATTGCTGTGCAGAATCTCACTGAACCTATTTTTAAAACCCATTAAATTCACAGACCTTTTAATTTGTTACATTCCTTACTGCCTAATCACATGACCCTGTTATCTGTGTGATTCTGCTCCCCTACTCTTTTATTGTATCTGTGTTATGACCGCGACTTGCTGTGTCACACTGAATTTAGATGGCATGCTCTTTGGGGCAGCAGCTTTGACTTGTTCTGTGGGGCATCCAAGCACAATTTTGGGCACTAAAATAGTAATAATAATTAGAATCATAGAATCATAGAATATCAGGGTTGGAAGGGACCTCAGGAGGTCATCTAGTTCAACTCCCTGCTCAAAACAGGACCAATCCCCAACTAAATCATCCCAGCCAGGGCTTTGTCAAGCCTGACCTTAAAAACCTCTAAGGAAGGAGATTCCACCACCTCCCTAGGTAACCCATTCCCGTGCTTCACCACCCTCCTAGTGAAAAAGTTTTTCCTAATATCCAACCTAAACCTCCTCCACTGGCACTTCAGTCCTCACCCGGTTCTTTATTTGATTTCATTAGGTTTGTTGTATGTTTACAGAGTCCATTGTAAGACAATAGATACTTGAGTAAGTTTATACATCTTACTTTTACGTATTATGTTAGGCTCACTGATTCTCAGGACAGTTTTAAAAATGTAAGCAGTTTATAAGGTGTCTATTGAAGGCTACGAAGTACTCTGCAGGAATGACAACATGAGATGGTAAAACATCTAAAAAGGAAAGGCAGCCAGACTAAATGCAGAGCAAGGCAACATCACTGAAATACTCCGTGTCCCAATGGCATACAGTAACCTTCAGGAAAACCAGCCATCCACAAAGGTTCCCATTGGGCACACACAAAAAATGGGGAGAGACTTTGGCAAATGCTAAATAAATCAAACATGATAGGGGGCATAAATGGTTCACAGTAAATAGACCAAAACAAGTAGGACTTGCAGCATGCCCTGATTGCAGCCAACAAAGAACACAGATAGACCTCCAATATAAGGGAGTCCCCAAGAAAATTTCCTTCACTAGGAAAAGTCCTGCTTTCTAGTCCTAAGTGAGTCAATGGAAGCAAGATCAAAGCAGTCTCAGCCCAAATACAATAGGGACACAAGGAATTTGCCTTCAAGAATGAGCACAGCCATTACAGGCAGATCTGTCCACCCTTCCATTGACTTGAGAAGAAGGAGTGAGTAGTGCTTCCTAAAAGACATATGATCATATATTAAACATGGGGCTTGGAGCCAGGAAGTCCTGAATTCTCTCCCTTTCTCTGGCACTGGCCTTAATAATGTTTTAAACATTATTTCCAGAAGTAACTCCACTGAAGTGAATGGAGTATAACAGTTTGAAACGGCTTTGAAATCAGAATCAAGCCTTGTTCCTTTGACAAGAAAACCCTTAGAAGATATGAGAGATTTGATCCAAATGCTAGGCCTGAGCCTGAAGAGCCAGGTCCGTAGATCCTTGCTGAGTTCTTACATAATTTTTATTTATTTCTTGCATTGACATCAACAGGTAGTTTTGCTGGAGTAAGGAATGAGCAAATCCTGAGTAAAGATCTCAGGGTTTGGTCAGTTATTATTTGTATTGCAGTTATGCCTAGTAACCCCAGTCATAGAGCCGGACCCCAATGGGCTTGGCACTGTACAAATTCAGAACAAATTGTTATTTTTTAAATGTATGTTCTAGAATACTACAGTCATTTATTTCTGGTTTGTTACCTGCTTTGCCAAAAACAGAAACGATGTCCTCCATGATCTTCTTGTAAATAGAAGTGTGGGATAGTATAAATGCCAGGGTCCAAAATGCCACCTAAAGAAAGAGACTGAAAGAAGTTACCTCAGAAATATAGAGCTGTATTAAAACTTGTAAAAGTCTCAGGTCATAAGAACAGGCTAGAGACACACCTGTCTGGGGTGATCTAGGTATACTTAGAGGGCTGGGACCCGACCTCTCAAGGTCTCATCCAGTCCCACATCTGTCCCAAAGCTCAAGTCCAGATCTAAACCACCTTAAGTTTTAAGGGGTATTTGGAGTGGGCCCCTTCCTCATGGAAAGCAGATGAGGATGACACTGTAAAACAATGTGTGACTTCTACTGATTCACGATGGACATGGAGAGTATGCGAAGAAGTTTCAAAAACTGCTAAGTGGTCTGAGAGATTGCCAAAGGCCCTGGGATAATGAGCCTGAGTCTCATCCCACTTACACCATTGTCAGATGGAAGTGGCTATTAAAGTCAGTGGAAAGCCAGTGCAAGAGAGAGTCAGGTGATTAGCGAGAATATAATGCTGAAATGCATTTGCAAACCAATGAGTTGCAATTCAAGTTTTAAATGCAGGGAAGGGCAAAACTGTTGGGCATGCAAAACACAGGAGCACCTGTCTCATATTAAAAAGCTTTCCTTTTACAAAATGAATGTGCACAGTTACCTAATTCCTTTTGTGGGTGTGTGATGACCTAGGGTCACTGCGGTGTACCCCCTTTCAGTTAGGAGTGGCACCACACTTCCCTTCACCCAGCTTATAAACAAGCCCATACAAATCTTTTTATCAAAGAGCACACCCTTTTCAAGGGTCACATTTATTATATTAACAAGAGCCATCACCCTAAGTAGGAGCTCACTCAGGCTATGACTGCACTACCATTTATGTTGGTATAACTTACGTCGATCAGCGGTGTGAATAAGCCACCCCTCTGAGTGACATAAGTTACTCCGATCTAAGCGCCAGTGTGGACAGCACTATGTCGGCAGGAGAGCATCTTCCACTGACATAGCTACTGCCGATCGCTGGGGATGGATTAATTAAGCCGACGGGAGAGCTCTCTCCCAACAGCTTAGAGCAGCTACACTAGGGAGCTTACAGAGGTGCAGTTGCATCGGTGTAGCTGCTCCACTGTAAGCGCTCTAGTGTAGCCATAGCCACAAATACACCTGGGGACGTTCATCATCTCAGGCTTAGTCCAACTAGTGATCTCTGTTTCCTTCCTTCATGAGACTCTTCTTTCCTGCATCTGTAACCAGCCTGTTTGTGGAACCCTTCCCAGTTCCTTCTCTAGGGGCAAAATTAAGTCGACCTAATTTATGTTAACGTACAGCCACTGCAGTAATTAAATCCCTTTTGCATGTCCACACTATGCTATTTGGGTCGCCGGTGTGCGTCCTCACCAAGAGCGCTTGCACCGGCTTAACTGTCAGTGTGGGGCATTGTGGGCTGGCTTCTGAAAGGCAGCAACAGTCGATGTAAGCAACGCAGTGTCTACGCTGACACTGCGTTGACCTAACTATATTGACCTGTGCGCTATGCCTCTTGGGGAGGTGGAAGTATTAAGTCGGTAGAGTGGGTGAGTTGCATCGGTGGATGCTGCATTGTAGTGTAGATGCTTACAGAGTTAGGTCAACATATAAGATGTTTTATATCAATCTAACTCTGTAGAGTAGACTAGGCCTAGATTATTCCTTTTCAATCTTTCCCTAAGCTCTCCTCCTTGGAGTGTGGCTGCATTCATTTAGCCTCTCACTCTGTCCCCTTAAACAGGTTTCTTCTCTGGAGTTGGGTCCTGTTAATTAAATTGTCTTGTACACAGCTCTCCTCCCTGCAGCTGAGTTGTGGGCTAGTCTGTTGTAAGGCCTTTGCCAGCTGCTCCCTCAGCTGCCCCCTTCTCCTTAATTAGCCTTCAGGGCACTCAGCAGGCCAGCGTTTCTCCGCTGATATCCCCGGCCTTTGCCCTGGAGGGAATAGGCAGTATATACGCTACTCCCCCTCTCCCAGCTCATTCCCCATTGGGTTGGCTGAGAGAGGAATCTTGGCTCACCCTCTCTGCAAAACTCCTGGCCCAGGGTACTTAAAGGTACAGTGATGGAATTTTCTCCCCGGCACCAATCCTTCCTGGGAGCTGTTCTATTAATTTAGATGGAATATATTGGCCAAAGGTATAAACATAACCCAGTCACTGTACAACATTAAACAGTGCTAAATAAGGTCCAGGGTTTGGTATATAGAGACCTAAGCCTGCTTAACACCATGGCAAACATGCCATTAAAAATCTTTTTAATGTTTGATTAGAGATACGGAGAAAAGCAAAAACAGTTCAAGCACTTGAAATGTAAAATATGCAGTAAGACTGTCATTTTAACAACATTTCTCGTTCCCTTTAGCTGCAGAGAGTTTTAGGAGGAAAAGTGCACTTGTTTGTCAATCTCTTAGATGATAATAATTGTCCTTTTGGGTAAAAGCAAAGAAGTTAGTTGGGAGGGGCTGGAGCTGCTGTTGAGTCCGATCCCGTTTCATCTCAGCTGGTGTTTAGGATTCAGTCAGAGCTGGCAGGGCTGGCAATGTCATCTGGATCCCTCTCTCTGGCCTGGTCGGGTCAGGACACCTCTCAGGATCACAAAGGCCTGGGGTCCCAGGAAACAGTGGGGATGAAGCTCACTCCAATAGTCTGCATCTGTTCTTACATCTTCTTTCTCCCGCCAAAGCCTTTCTTTAAGGACCAAAAGGCAGTGGCTGGAATAACCCATTCCCTCATTATTTTGTCTACCAGTTAGGCCCAATATCCAACATACAAGTTTTGGTTCATTAATTTCCAGTTCCACACCTTCTGTTTTCACCAAGGTGGACTTCAACATAATCCTTGAATCATATCAGCGTGGCCTTTTTTCATCTGGACTAATTTAGTCTGTCTGGTTCCTTTGCACCTGTTTATAATATTTCTTATTGAAAGAACTAGACCTACTTTCCACCAACATTTATTATAGGTTATTGTAACAGCTTATGAACTTTCATACACATTTACAATTGAGCCTATACTTATGGTAAATTTGTAGGTCCAATTATCACAACAGACTGCCCCCCTTAGGTCTCTCCATGTCCCCCCTAGGTCCATATTTTATATATATTAGCTGTGGCATTTCCAAGGAACTGCTTCAGTACAGACTGGAATAGAGAAGGACTCAAAGAGCCAACCCCATAGAGATGGGACCAACGCTAGAAGAAGATAGAAGAGGTAGAACTTTTCAAACCCTTAAAAGGCAATACCACAGGGTGGACTGGATTGACCACTAGGCACCACTGCCTTTAAGGGGCAGACTACCCCATCACAGGGTGTAAATGCATTTTGTGGGAACAATGCTTGTACCCAGCTGTGAAAATCTGCCTCTAATAAAAGTTCAGATGAGAAGCTGACAAAAGATTAAGGGCCAGACTGTGAACTCTTGTTGCTATTGTTGACCAGTTACTAACCGGACTAATTCCAATGATTTCCATGGGTCTACTTGGTTGGGTGAGTAACCCTAAAAGTGGGAGTAAGAGAGCTCACAGTCCTGGTAAAATTCGGTCTCCTCCTCTGCTGAATACTTACACATTCCTCTTAAATGAGCCTTTTCCTGTTTCTACTTTAAACTATAAAAGAGTCTGTGAAATACACAGTGCCTACATTCACTCTTTAATTTCAGATACCCAGGCGTTAAAATGAATTAGTATGCCATATGCTTTGCATGCAATTAGGTACCAAACTCCTACTAATGCCTATAAGATAGGTAAGCGTAATAACCTAATAAGGAAGTGCTCTGTATAGCACAAAAGCTTGTCTTTCTCACCAACAGAAGTTGTTCCCATAAAAGATACTACCTCACCCACCTTGTCTCTCTAATATGGGAGCAGGACCGTGGCTCTGGGCGGGGAGGGGCAGGGGGATGCGGACAGGCTGGGGGCTGGTGCAGGGCTGGGAGTGGAGCCGTGCTGAGGCTGGGACCCGGGCCAGGCGCAGGGCCGGCAGCCGGGGACGTGGCTGGGGGCGGGACCGGAGCAGAGCTGGAGGCGGGGAGGGGCTGGGTGGCACTTCCTGCCCGCGCCCCATGGGGGCAGGCCTGGGCCCCATCGTGCCCCCCCCCAGACATTCCTCCATGCCCCCCTTGGGGGGAGCGTCCCACACTTCGGGGACCTCTGCTCTAATATCCTGGGACCGACATGGCTAAAATAACCCTGGATATAATAATCTGCAGAGCATTATTCTAGTAAGTCATATCTGTATGGCAGTGGCGTCAAAGAAAAGTTTTAATTACCTGCAAAACAAAGTGAATTTGTGGATATGAAGTTTTAACTGATTATGCATGGAGTTAAAAATAAAGTAGTTTATACTTTATGAGGAGAAAATCCCCTTTAGTATGAAATCAAAAGCAGCGCTACTTCAAACCTAGAGCATCTCTTCCCTTGCTGATTAAGCAGAAAGTCTGGTCTACATACAGATTTTGTACAGGTATCTGTCTCAGCTGGGGGTGAGATTTATTTATTGATATAGTTAAACTAGAATAGCCCCCTAGTGTGGAGGCAGTTATACTGGTAAAAAAAGTGCTTTATAATAGTATAGTTTATTCCTCTTCCCTTACAGGAAGAGCTATATTAGTATAAAGCACTTTTATATGGACTATGCCAGGGTGGGGAGTACCAGTATAACTATACCAGTCTAGCTAAAGCGGTAAAACTCTCTAGTGTGGACAAAGCCTGAAAATCCCACCTGAAGAGGTTACTTGCAATAAAGCAGTTTTTAATAAGTTTATAGTATGTTGGTCCCAGGATATTAGAGAGACAAGTTGGGTGAGGTAATATTTTTTATTGGACCAACTTCTGTTGGTGGAAGATACAAACTTTCAAGCGACACAGAGCTGTTCTTCAGGTATGGGGAAGGAAATCACAGTGTCTGAGCTAAATATAAGGTGGGACAGATTGTGAAGCATAAGGGGTAATGCATGTTGGAGGTGATCACTTGAAATGAAGTGGGAAATTGAGGGATAGATGTTATGCATAAGGGGTTTGAATTGGGCAATTAAGGGTAGCAGGTGGTGTGTGTGTTACAAATTGTTTTAATGAGCCATAAAAGCAGCACCCCTTTTGAGTGCATAGTTTTTGGTGTCTTGCAGAGTTATGAATTTAAGTTCCCAGGCTCACCTTTTGAAGGTGTGTGGTGGGGTGTACAAACCCCACACTGGTGACAAAAGGGTTAAGGAGCAGCTCTGGGCCCAGAAAGCCTCACAGGAAAGAATGAGCTCAAAAGGGAGCAGCTTAGCTCAGTCAGGGTGGATGGAGCAGTTGTGTGTTTCAGGCTCCTACTGAAAACCTGCCGAGGCCTCACGCAGCGGGGCCAGGCCTCATCAACAGGCCACCCCAGAGCTTTCAATTGAAGAGGTTGATGATGAAGAGATGCAACTGCGAGAGGAAGACCCACTGAACCACGGACAGAGAGGGCTCCAGAGGCTCCCAGTGACGCCAACAGAGAAACAGAAGCCAGGGTATCAAGTGGCCCAGGGAGCAGGCGTAGAGGCACTCTACCCCCTAGGCCGCACATTTTGAATTATTGTTTCATTGGGCCCTGGATTGGAACCTGGTGGAGCAGGGGTGGCCTGGGTTCCCTTACCCCCGGCTATTGATGCTTGCCACTAGGCAACATAACCCAGAGTTCTGCCACCAGACAGTGCTGCCAGGAGCCCCCCCGCCAACAAGGTGTTGGGCAGGTTTTCTTTGAGGACGAGTATTGAAAAATAAAATCAGATATGGAGTGATCTGGTCCAATCAAAGAGAAAGAAAGTGTTCCTGCAGCCATCATACTTACAGGCATAGCATTCGCTTGGGAGGCCCAGAGCAATAAGAGAGCATAATTGGGAGCTAAATGTTTTCCATGCAAGTTATCCAGGAGATGCTGCAGCAGTGTCTGTTATAAGTAAAAGCATAAATAATTGGGTACATCCTTCCACCAGTTTATCAATTAAAAATAAAGCTAGTTAACAATCTTCAATGCCAAATTAGATAGACAAGAGCTTCCCAAAGAAGTGAAATTCACTCCTGTGCAGAGGGCCAACATGAGGTCTTGTGAGGACTCTAGGTGACTTATGTGGTGTAGAGGCCTTGTGCTGGTATGTGTATGGGGTGAATTTCATGCTGAGAGAATGTATATATCCACAAGTCATCAGCCTGGCTCAGAGGCCAAGATCCTACAAGCACAGCAGATAGTGGACATGCAAGGGAGTCAAGTTTAAATTCACAATTCTTGGTCTGATATGAGACATGAAAGCTAGCAACCACTGGTATATATCAATGATAACCTGGGATGCCCAGATGTCCACTGGCACATGAGTATTTGTTACTGTTAATGGAGATCCACATCTTGAAATTGTTACTGTTTCCTCAAAAACAAAAGGCCAATTACCACGCAGGTTCCATCATCTCAAGTACTCTGACCCAGGCAGCCCTTGTATGTAACAATATTCATTGACGAGAATTTTCACCATTACCTAAGCAGAATAAGTAGTAGAGGAACAAACCCTCTATTGTAGCTGTAACTTAGTGTACCTGGCTTCAGATCTACTTAGTCACCAGCACCTTCTTCTATCTATTAACCTAAATACCTGTTTGAGGATCTACCCACTCTACACCAGCACTTACAAAATACCTTGTAAAAGATTTTACATGGCTCACAAACCAGAGCCCCCAGCAGGAAACACTGAAGAAGCCCTTCTCTTGACTCCTTCCGCTGGTGACCTCTGAAAGTGGGGAGGCAAATTTGATGGCCAAACTCAGCTCAGAACTCTCAAGAGCAGCATGTGACAGCTAAGGACTTGTCTAAACAGCAATTTAGTGTGCACTAAGCTGGGATGTGACTCTACAGAGCTGCATTTGCCATGCACTAACTGACTGTGTGGACCCTGCTATTTTGCACTAAAAGTTCCATAGTGTGTTTTGATCGACTGCAAGTGCACTACAAAACTTTTAGTGTGCAGTAGCAGGGGCCACATGGCCAGTTTGTGCACAGCAGGCTGGTGTGGTGGATATTTACACCCCAGCTTCCAATATGTTAAATCGCCATATAGACAAGTCAAGAGTCTAGTAAAATAAACTAAGCTGATTGGTGAGGTTAAAAATGATGGGCCTGAACCTGCTGCCTTTGAAGTTACTATCACATTTTTAAAGTGTATCTATGCGAAATGGGCTTGGTAGGCCTAATGGTCTCTTCCTGCTCTGAAATGCCTTATGTCCTTTACCCCTGCATACAAAATATAACTGCAGCAATGCTGATCTGGCACTTTATTTAAAATCCTCTGATAGCTTTACCTTGGAATTGCTCTCTGGCGGGTTGGCTCTCTCAGCGTCTGATACCACTTTGTCAAACACTTTTAGAAGCCATTTTTTGGATTTAGACCAGTTTCTGTGAAGAAAAAAACAACAATAAAAGAGGAATTATTTGAAATGCATTTGGGAAAACAATTCAGGCAGCACAGCACAACCTCACTTTCACGGAGGAGGACTCCTCACTTTCTCTCCAAGCCTTCTCAGAGCACCTCGGTACTATTCCATGGATGGAGAGATGTACCAAGCTGATTTTCAGTACTGTTGAGTCAACTGGAGTCAACACCAGCAGCGGATGCTCAGCAACTCTGAAATCCATAATAGCTAAACACATGGTCCGATGGCCAGAACCGGGACCTGACACTCAGCATTCCTGGATTTTCCTGCCAGCTCTACTACCGGTTTCCTGTGTGACCTTGGACAAGTTACTTAGGCCAATTTTTTTCCAAAACTGACCATTAACTTTGGGTGCCTCAGTCTTTGGGTGTCCAATCTGAGAAAACAAGGTCTGATTTTTGGAGCTGCTGAGTACCCACAGCTCCCATCTGAAGGCAATGAGGTCTGTGGGTGCTTACAACTAAAAATAAGGCCCAAGATGTCTCCGGTTGGGCACTGAATACTGAAGTGCTGGCCCAAGAGAATAAAATGACAGGATGGGACGTCTTTTACAAAACCAGCACCCTCATGCAACGGTGTAATTCCATTGACTTCAGTGGAGTTATCCCTGTTTTACACCAGTATACGTTAGAGGAGATTCAGGAGTCTAATTTTTAATGGACAAAATTTAAAGCCCAACTAACACTGCATTTGACTGAAATGGAGTCAAAGGCAGAACATTGTTTTCCGGAGAAATGCTGCTAGGTTACCAGGATAAGACACTTCTAATAGGTTTGCAAGACTTGCCCCATTCCCCCACCCACTCCATTACCTCATAAAATACTCAGGCATCTGGGACCCATATTCAAAATCCTCATCATACTTCTGAAAATGCTCTTCAAACTCCTTGATGTCACTCTTGTTTGTTGGACAGACACCTTTTCCAAATAAGATATTTACGGTTGCTGGATACATGACAGATCTGTAACAACAGAAGCACTGCAGCATTAGGCCAATGGGAAGCTGTTCTAGCATCTTGTCAGGTATGTTTGATTACCAACAGAAAAGAAACTCTTTGAGCCTAACTGTGGAACCTTACCTCATGCTAGGATGAAATTCTCCCCTGTGTAGAGGGGCCAGCAGGACTTAAGCCCTCAACACAGAGTTTAAGTGGGACCTATGTGATCAATAACCCCTGCACTAACCCTCAGCTTGTGGTCAAATTTTACCAGTTAGTCAGCACTTACTCTCCTGAGTAGCCGCAGGATGGCCCTGTGCATTGGAGTACCCTCTCCCCATCCCCATTATCCATCAGTCGGATTCCAAATGAGCTTCCTTGCTAGGACTTCACTAGTCAGTAGCTGCAGCAGAACCTCTTCTCCTGGGTGATGCCCACAGCAGGGGCTTAGAAATGTAACCCCACGCCTGGCTGCATTACATTCCCATCCTGAGTCCTGCTGGGCTAGGGGATGCTTTTCCCCCCCTCTTCACCTCCCTTCCAGCCTGCTCATGTCTGTTCCTTCCCTCTGCATACACCCCCAGCGGATTTCATTGGGGTTCATTAGATCTATGAATTCCTCACACATCTTCCCCTGAACTCCAGCTACTGTTTAATGACTATTAGAGACAGAGATGGTTTCATTTTGTTTGCCTTTCTAAATATCATAAGCAACATTTCTCCTGCTGTCTCTCTAGAGCCATCTGCTGGCTGAATGCATTTCAGCTCCAGGTCAACTATATAAAGATTTTTCAACCAGTGTGTATTTCAGTTCTTTCAGCCCCCATTTTATAACCAACCAAACAAACAAAAGGCGCGTAATAAAGGTGTACAGCACAAGTTTTATTATATTCCCCTTATGTGTTTCTGCTGTTGATTATCTTAGTTATGACCTAATTGGCTTGTTAAGTTTTAGGATATGTCTGCACTGCACACCACTGGCAGGGGTGGCTAGAATATGTGTAATTATCAGCCTTAGTGAAAAACAAGCCATTTCCATACTGCAGTGAGTAAGCTACACACATCAGTGAAAGGCTCTGGCAGAGGGGAGGCAGTGGGAAATGCCTTTCCACGCTGCCTTCTTTCTGCCAGAGTCTTTCCCTGAAACAGGGAAAGGCCCTGGTAGCTGCCTGTGGTGGGGAAAAGGAGGCAAAGGTGGGGAGATGCCAGAGCTTTTCCCCACTGCCAGTCTTTCCCGGCTGCCTCCCCCATGCCAGAGTCTTTCCCCACTGCTGGAGCCTTTCCCTGGTGCTGGAGAAAGGCTCCAGCAGTGGGACAGTACACCGCTAAAAATAGGGTACAAATCCACAGGGCTCAGGCATGTCTTTACGCATCTAAGCAGTGCTTCACCATCCACACTGCTATTTATACCCAGGCTGGGGTTGGGGGAAGAGCAGCTGTACTCTACACGCAGGGGCGGCTCCAGGCACCAGCGCACCAAGCGCGTGCCTGGGGCGGCAAGCCGTGGGGGGCGGCCTGCCGGTCGCCGTGAGGGCGGCAGTCAGGCTGCCTTCGGCGGCATGCCTGCAGGAGGTCCGCCGGGTCCCGTGGCTTTGGTGGCAATTTGGCGGCAGCTACGCCGAAGCCGCGGGACCGGCGGACCTCCTGCAGGCGTGCCGCCGAAGGCTGCTTGACTGCCGTGCTTGGGGCGGCAAAATACATAGAGCCGCCCCTGTCTACACGCCACTTTAAGTTTTGTGCAGAGCAGACGTACCTTGTGACAAATGGCATTGGGTCTACAACATCTGAATGCCTCACTTTACAAATATGGATCAGCTTAATTTCCACATAATCACAGGCCTGCCAAAGTGTATATGAGCCGCACAACTGGGGAAAAAGCACTGCGTTATCAACAGGTGAGACGTGTACGGCTCTGCCCAGGCAAATATGGAATAAACTTCCCCAAGAATTGAGATCCATCATAAACCTCATCACTTTCCACGCCGAGTGCAAGGTGTAGTTCTTTGACCTTGCCTTCTCTAATATAGCAACAGGTATATTTATACAGGGAGGGATAGCTCAGTAGTTTGAGCATTGGCCTACTAAACACAGGGTTATGAGTTCAATCCTTGAGGGAGCCACTTAGGAATCTGAAACAAAAATCAGTACTTGGTCCTGCTAGTGAAGACAGGGGGCTGGACTTGATGACCTTTCAAGGTCCCTTCCAGCTCTCTGAGAGAGGTATATCGCCATATATATATATATATATTTAAAAAAAAAAGCCCACTCCCTACCAAAAAGACACTCCACTGCACACGCTTCTCCCTTAGGGAGAGGATGAGAGAACAAATGCACATGACAGATGTTAGTCACATTGCTTAATGCAACTATAAGAAGGTGCTTAGATACTGTGGTCATGAGTGCGATATAAAAATCTGTACAGAATATTAGACTATCAGGTACTTCTTGCGCAACTGGCACGAAATCCTGGCTCCACTTAAATCAATGGCAGAACTCTCATTGACTTCACTGGGGACAGGGTTTCACCCTGGATCTTTATGGGAATTGTTTAGTTCTGCCAAGGGGTACATGAGCCAGGGCTTGTCAATATAACTTGAGAAGCTTCCTAGACATGTGAAGCCTTGACCAGAGGTCCCCTTTGCAAATACCTTGCTAAGTAGAGGAGGCCGTGCTTACTTTTTTTCAAAACTTTTAACAGATTTTTCTCTGTGGCAGCCAGTCCCAGCCTCCATCCTCTCCAGACCCAATCACTTTATAAGCTGCACCAGCCAGCTCTAAGCCACCAGGCACAGCGAGGCAATGAATGGCTTGCTCTGCATTCCTGGAGGAGTTTCTTCTGGGATCCCACAGCCCAATCTCCACCTGCAGACTTTATAATACGGTCACTGCTGCCGCTACTATTTATTTAGCAAAGAACATGGACATCTGTTCAATAGAGCACGATTATAAAAGTCACATACCTTATTAGATCACTGAGATTCTCAGTTCCTGCTGTGCCCAAGCAGTCCATGTGCTCGTGTAATTCTTGACACAGAGTCCCAGCAAAAAGGTACAGGCTAGAGGTACCCATTTTTCCTTTCATCATGCTATAGAGTCTGCTACGGTTCCGATAAAAGATTTCTGCAGGAATTGAAGCTTTAAATACAAAAAAGGGAGGAAGTGTAAAGGTTTTGGAAACTAGCCCAGGTAAATTTTAAATGTCAAAAGTGTCTATTTTGTATATTACTTGTGATACTGGTTTCAGTTTACTGTAATCTTACTCTCTATGGGTGAAATTCAGACCCATGAAGATTTTATTCCCACAGCCTGCATTTCTGACCTTGTAAAGGGATCAGCAGTGGTTAACACCCAGACCCCACTAAGTTTTACTTCTCCTGCTCAGTAGGGAACTTCCTCCTTCTGCCTTATAAAGCTTCAGTCTTGTAAATAAATATGCCAGACACTTCCCCTGATTTATGTGTCAGGCAGTTCCAAAGGCATGTTTTGGAGCTTCATGTAGAGAGCATACAGAATCGCTGCTCCATTACCTGCACTGAGCACCTGCTAGGGTTGGGGGGATGGGGCTATACGGGGGGAGTTCAAGGAGTTACTGTTAATCTAAAAAGTTGTAAGTGGTTTGGGATCTAAGTGTTTATTGCTCAACAGTTCCCCGCACTTTCTCCTCTGCAGCAGGTGCCGCTGTGCACTCTGGGAAGCCATTCCCCTCGGTCTCAGCCCTTGGGGACAGTCGGACAGCAGTGCATTGAGATGAAGCCTGGTGGAGGTATGGGGGTGACACCACCATCACCGGGGCCCAGCTGAGGACATTAACAGGTGTCATTTCTTCATTTTGATAATCTGGTCACTTTATTCAAGCCTTGTATTAAATAGTAGGTATCATCACAGCAGGTCCCAGGACCCTATGAGGAGCACCATTTCTGTGGGGAGTTTAAGCAATGTACGTGCTTTTAAATATTTGAAATAGTAAATGGGCCTGATTCCATTCTCCCACAGTTTTCACTCCTCTCCCCTGTGTGGTGTTCGTGAGGGAAGACGCAGGGCCAATATGTGGGAATACATTTCATGGTGTCTAACAATGCTGCCAACTCTCACAATATCTTGATGCCCCAGGTGTTGGAGTCAAATGACTGCATAAGAATTTCAGCTTTCATTTGAGAACAAAGTAAGTTTCTGGCCCTCCTGGCTGTGAATAAAAGTTTGAAAATGTGACCTGAGTGGCCCAAAAGGCAGCAACCCTGAAATGTATTATTTTGAAAATAATCTCATGATTTTGAGGGACCTGACTCATGATTTTGAAAGCTTGAAATCGGCAATACTGGGATAGGTGATTAAACACCGGTGCAGGGGAAACTCTTGCCGTCCATTGGCACATTGTTGTTTTATGGCTAGCAAAGTCAGATTGCACCATATGTATTTGGAGGTGGAAAATGCAGCCTGCAGTAGACAGCTGCTGGCCGCACCATCCAAGCCCATTTTTAGGGTGATCAGAACTGCCCTATTTTGGTTCTCATCACTGCAAACATGCAAAACATCTAATCTTCTATCAACTCATTCCACTTACCATTGCTTAAAGGATGTGTGAATGGGATTCAAGTTTGGCATAACACACCAGCAAAGTGTGTCCTGCGTTCTCCTCTACTGCCTCTTCTGCTAGAGGAGAACAGCTTACTATTGCTACCAGCTAACAGTTTCTCCTTTTGTTCAAGTGGTAGAAGTCTGTCCTATGGCTCTGAAGCTCTTACATGGTCTCTTTAGCAAGCTGGCCAAAGACTGAAATATCCTCTACCACAGGGTTGAGGAAATTGGCAGGGTAGGGTGGGAATGGCTGCATTATCACTGCCAGTACTGTGCCTTTTTTATGAGTAAGCAGAGGATGATCATTTCCATTATGGTCATTCTAATATGGTCTTAGCTTTAGTGGCTTAATGTTGAAAAGCAAGGCGGACCAAGAACTTCTTTCCTTCTAGCTTGCTCTTTCCTGTGAATAGTAGGGAAAAGAATGGTATGGGGGAACCCCTGATGGAGGAAAGGCCAGTGCGTCATGGCAAGGGGGTCTCCCTAGGGGCTAGAAGGGGGGGCCTGGGGATCTGACTCCTGGCCTCTAATCTCTGCACCCCAGGGATAGCTCAGTGGTTTGAGCATTGGCCTGCTAAACCCAGGGTTGTGAGCTCAATCTTTGAGGGGGCCATTTAGGGATCTCGGGCAAAAGTCTGTCTGGGGATTGGTCCTGCTTTGAGCAGGGGGTTGGACTAGATGACCTCCTGAGGTCCCTTCCAACCCAGATATTCTATGATTCTATGATTCTATGTGCCTACCACAAAGAGGCCCTGATACCTGGTTGGGGCTGTTAAGTTTTACTGCAATACAAACAACAATACGGGTTATTGGTTCAAAAATCTACTGATGACATGTTCTGGGGTCAGTATACATGTTCAGGGCCTTGGACAACAAATAGTTACATCTGTGTGTGACAGTCTGGGGAATATGTTGGTGTCAATTTATAAATTTCATTTAGTTTTGTGAGGATCATTTATGATTGTAACCTGCATTGTGGGTTAGAATCTCCATTTTCTATATGACCCATTTTTGTGTCTGGCGCTGAGCATCATTTTGAACTGGCATATGTGTAGCTTGCTCCAGATGTATAACAAAGCCAGAGAGGACGGGGTTGGGTAGTGACAGGACTGGTAGTGACATTTCTCAAGCTAGGGAGAGCTAACACAAGAAGCGTCATCCAGCCAGCTCCAAGGGAATATGAGCTTGCGAGTGACTCTTATCTACTGCTGCTGGGGGGTTCAGGAGGACTGGGGCACAGGTTCCAGGGTCTAGGTGGCTGGAGTGCAGTGTCCCACTGCCATGAGGGATGTCAGACATGGGGTCTGCACCTTGAGAGTGCCCCTGAGTGTCCCAGAACTGGGAACAATGATCTGTCACTACCCAGATCCAGGGAGTTTAGTGGCCCCTGCAGTTGGATACCCTCACGATAGACTCGTGTCTATCCAGAGAGCAGGACTGGCCCAGGCAACGACATTGTGTATTGTATTTGCCCCTTAACTTTGTGCTTTGATTGTGGATTAAGATATGCATTTAAGATCTGATCCAAAGACCCATGGGCTATGGATCACGTCTTTAACCTTGATGGGTGGCTAGATTAGCTTTTCTTTGAAAGTGAGATATCCCTTACTTGTGCGCTGGACCGTTTGCTGCACCGCCTGCTCAAAATCTATGTCCTTAGATGTAAAAAATGCTTCAATCCCCTCTTCCTCAGTCACAAAGGTGAATCGGTTTCCCAGAGCAAACACTGTGAATACTGGCCCATACTGCAAAAACAAGGAGTTAAAAAATTAATGACTTTTGCAAAGACATTTTATGGGAGACCACAGCTCTGATCCTGCAACAGGAATTGCACCAGTACAATAGAAATGTTGAGATGGTAAGAGAGAAAGAAAATAAAACCAAAGCAGGGGTAGAGGGGTGCAGCTTCACTATCTAAAATCCTTGTTCAAGAGCATACAGACGTAAATAAATTAGATTTGAATTCATAGGTTTTAAGGTGAGAAGGGACTCTTGTGATCATCTCCTCTGACCAGCTGCATGGCACAAGCCACAGAATTTCACACAGTGATTCCTACACAGAGCACAATTATGGTTCAGCTATCACATAACTTCTAGAAAGACATCCCGTCTCGATTTAAAGACTCCAAATGACAGACAAACGACTGCACCCCTTGGTAATCTGATCCAATAGTTATTACCCTCACGGTTAAAGAGTTGCATCTTATTTCCAATTTGAATTTTTGTAACAAACTTCCAGACATTGGATCTTGTTATGCATTTGTGCTAGATTAAAGAGCCCCCTAATATCAAATATGTTTTTCTTGTGTAAGTATTTAAAGACTACGTCTTATCAAAACAAGGTTAAGTTAAATAGATTGAGGTCCTTAAGCTTTTCATTGTAATATGTGTTTTCCATCCCACAAATCATTGCTGTAACTTTTCTCTGAACTTAGCTTCTCTAACATCTCATATCTATCCAACGCAATTCTTTCCCAAAACATCCAGCAATGAGAGAACCCACTACAGTCACAATCCAAATTCTCCCAACTGTTTGGAAGCTAGAGCATTACTTTTCACCAGTTTTTTGTCTTTGAACTTCATTTGGGCTGTAATTATTGTGTGGTCTGTTCAGCAGAGCTGTCTTTGGGAGCCTAAGTTTATGTTAGGGAGACAGGCAAAATATTTTCAAGTAGACTTATAACAACACACTGAATTCTAGAGAGAAAAGATTGTCCTGTGGTTAGGGCCCTAGTCTAGAACTTGGGAGGACTGAGTTCAATTCCTCATTGTATCGCAGATGTCCTGTGTGAACCTTGTTAAAACACAGTCTCTGTGCCTCAGTTCCCCATCTGTAAAATGGGAATAACAGTTCTCCTCTGCTGGGATGTTGTGAGGATAAACACATTAAAGCAGGGGTTCTCAAACTGGGGGTTGGGACCCCTCAGGGGGTTGTGAGGTTATTACATGGGAGGTCACAAGCTGTCAGCCTCTACACCAAACCCTGCTTTGCCTCCAGCATTTATAATGGAGTTAAATATATTTAAAAGTGTGTTTAATTTATAAGGGGGTTGCACTCAGAGGCTTGCTATGTGAAAGGGGTCACCAGTACACACGTTTGAGAATCACTGCATTAAAGGATGTGTGGTGCCCAGATTACTATGGTAATGGGGACTATAGAAGCACCTAAAATAGATTTCACAAGAGAGCAGTAGCAACATGAATTCAGTGCTTGTGAGATACCAGACAGAGATTAAAGAAGTCCTCACTATCCATTGGAGTTGGTCATAACATTTTTTTGACAAAGAGTGGGTGGAAAGTGTAGGGAAGAGACCTCAATATTGATGCAAAAATGATATTAGTAAAATTATTATAACTTATTTTTATAATGTTAGGTCATTACAAACATGTCTGCACCTTTACTGAGTCTTAGGAGATACATATAATTACTTTCATACATATGGTGCTTGGAGAAAAGTACCTCACCTGCATATATTTTTGTTTATTTAATTATATGAAACATCCAAGCTAAGGAAATTCCTAGGAATTTTGTTGTCTGTCAATATGAGTCAAGGAAGATAACACTATATTTATACAAACCTTAAATTGCAGCTTTTATCATTCCTATTTTACTTTAATGCTGTATTATTTGCTTTGATGCTCTGTTTTACAATATTATAGTCAATGTTTACTGCAATTTGTGTTTTGTATAAAATATTTAATTGCAAATTGTGAACGCTGTAAGAAGTGCTGGGTCAAAAGACTAACCAACCAACCAGAGCATCTTATCACAGAACAGGACTGCGAAGAGGTCCACTCATGGCAAGTGCACTTCCTTGGGGATGGAGCTGCGAATTAGCTTTTTGTCCCACCTGGCACCCCTTTCTGTCAGTTGCTCATGCCCCCCCCTCAGTGACTCGAGAGTCTCTCTTTGAGACTCAGCCCTCTGGCCAGGTGACTATATAAGCGCCCTCTTCCAGAGTAACAAAGTCCCATTGGACAAGCTGTCCATATACCATTTCCAGCACTCTTCTGTTCCATCTCCTGGTCTTGTGCCACTTTGGAACACTCACTCACACTCACTGGACCCACTCACTACTGTGGGTTCCAGCCCAGGGACTCTAGGACTAGCAACCTGCTCAATCCCAGACCCCGTTGCTGTTTCCCTGAGCTCTTTCCTACCTCACTTCTTTATCTCCTTTCCTATCTCTGGGTTCACCATTGAAGCATCCTCCGTTCCCCTGTGGCTACTTCACCCCTCTTGTCGAATTCCCTAGTCAAGGGCAGGACCCAGGGATTACCTTCCCCTTGGATTTCCTCCCTGGCCAATCCCCTTTCCCTGTAGGGAGTGACTTCAGGCCCCTTCGCTGAAGCCCATTCCTTTGTTGTTGTCTTTGTTTCTTTTTTGGCACAGCAGCCTCATCATACAAGGCAATGACCGACACTTTCTTCATTCATGTTTAGCCTTTTCTCTTTATGTCCTTTCGCTCAGTCCAGTATCCTTAAGGAAATGCACCAAGGCTTTTTTGCATTATTCCATTCTCACTAGTCCTGTTAGGGAGCAATCTTTGATTCCAAGCCAAGTCAGTTTTTCATAAAGAAACTTTCTTTCCAAAGAGTATTGCCCACAATGACCAACGGGTTCTTTGGTTTTGCACACATTACACGGCCCATCTTTATGTCTTTTAAATAAGTTTAACTTATCATTTAAGACACAATGACCTACTAACACTCTAAAAACGACTACTTCACTTTCTCTATCATGACTGTGGAGTATAGTATTATCTGATTTTTGAGCATACACCATAAATCCTTTGTCCTTATGTTTCCTTAGTCCATAGTTCTTGCCATTCCTTTGCAAGCTCCTTCGTGACCATGCTTTTAAATTCTTATCTGCTTAAGGAAATCTTAATATCCACCTCCTTGTTTTTTAGAGTTTGCTTTGATGCTTCATCAGCCGTTTCATTTCCAGACATTCCGAAATGCAATGTAATCCATGCTATTTTTACACAGATACCTACGTACATTATTTCCATGGTTAGAAACATTATTTCACTTACTATGTCATTTCTGCTTCCCAAGCCCCTGTTCTGATTGTCATAATGCCTAATGAGGAATCAGATAAAATTATGAAGGTTAGTGCCAACAACATCCTCATTAGTTAAGCTGTCAGAACAGTCGCATAATTCAACAGCCTTTTAGATTTCTGGATTCCAAGACTAGGTACACAAAAGCCTGTTCCCACTCAACTGACGCTGTTACCTTTAGATCCTTCCATAAAGACTTGGCAAAACTGTTGATATATTCAGAAATGTCATTGGTCAGAATATGTGGTATTTGGCTTCCCTCAGTTTCTTCATACAATTCAAATCCACAAATCGGGGAATAACTGTCCAGATGTGATTTGATTTCCCATGACTACAATTTTTTTTAGTTTTCTCAATTTTTCTTTTTTACATATCTCATTTACCTATTTTTTTTTACCCCAGCAGTATAAGGAAGTCTGTTTCAATCCATATAATTTTGTCTACCAAGCTCCCAGCAATCCTCATAAATCTGCTGTGTACTTCTATTTCCAAGATTCCCTTTTACTATTGCCCAAAAGGTTAGATCTAATAGTTTCATCCTTAGATTTATATAGTGCTTCTCCAGTGACTATTTGCAGCACACACACTAATACTGGTAGCATTGTGCCACATGCCAATCACAGAGCTTGGGCTTGTAGCAGTTCCCAAGTCGACGTGTTCCCAGTGTTCTACCAGTGTTCCCTCTAATTTTTCCCAAGCATGTGCGGAATGAATTTTGTTATGTGCACCAATACAGAGGTGATGTAGAATATTTGGGCTGGAAGGGACCTCAGGGGGGTCATCTAGTCCAACCCCCTGCTCAAAGCAGGACCAATCCCCAACTAAATCATCCCAGCCAGGGCTTTGTCAAGCCTTACCTTAAAAACCTCTAAGGAAGGAGATTCCACCACCTTCCTAGGTAACCCATTCCAGTTGTAAGCGGGGGAATGGTCCCACTATTGTGGGGAACTTTCCTGGCTTCTGCTCTACCCCGGTGAAGTGGGCTAGCGAAAGGATCCGAGTCCTCGCTCCCACTTCCTTTACCCAGAGGCCTCCCTGCCCTTGAGGACTCCCCTTCCACTCTCCTGTCTGGCAGAGTCCTCGTAAACCCCAACAAGGCTGGGCCCAGGATTCCTGGGGGGCTCGACCCCCAACCCTGCTGTGGTCACCCAGGATAGGGGCTAGGGTGTCCCCACTCCGGGGTACTCTCTCTGCACTGGGCACCTCCCTGACCCACTGATCATTTCATACAATTTAAAGCAAATACAAGTTGTTTAATTAACAATTAATTTGAAAAAAGAATAAGGAAAAATGGGAAAGGTTAAACGAAAACACATCACCCCGCTCTGTGGCAGGGAACATCCCAAACAGTGTCTCTGGAACGTCAGGGCAGTTCAGTCTGTTCCTTGTAGGTCCCAGGCTCCTTCTCAGGCCCTGGCTGTGCTGCAGAAACGCTGTGGGTTGGACACTTGCTCTGGCGGTGGCCACACGCTCTCAGGCTCTAGGTGGCAGGACCCTTTTTCCCAGCGTCGCCCCCGCCCGGTCGGGGTTATGATCCCCCTCCAAGTCTGGCCTGCAAGGCCTCTTGGCTGAGGCATCTCCCTGTGCTGGGTCCACTGCTCAGGGTCCCCCTCGCTCTCCCCAGCTGCTCACCGCACCCAGCTCCGGACTGCTCCAGCCCCGGCTCCAGCTCCACTTGG